ATCCCTATTTTTCTATCTCTCCTGGTTCAGAGAACGGGTCTGCTGGTCGCTGGATCAAGCTCAAGAAGGACTATATACCAGGTTTGGGTGACACTGTGGACCTGGCATTGATTGGTGCAAAATATGACTCTCGTGATGCTGCTGCGTTGAATACATCCACGAGGATATTTTGGACACACTTTTTCATCGGCTGTCTGGTCAACAAAGAAGCGGTCCTACAGTCCGCAGCTGAGCCAAGGTTTCAAGTTATATATGTGATTGACCATAACTCCATGAGTCTGAAAAATATGCAAATTCTCAATCAATTTGGGCAGTTTGGTGTTTGCAGTCTAGATTCAGGCCATGGATTCCGGATAGAATTTGGAAAGGATAGTCTCTCCGACATGGATACCGTTTTCAAGGAGCCATTCGTCGTTGAGATGTTGGGAGGTGGATTCGAGAAACCATCAGGTGCCAGATATTTTACACTTCGATTCCCTCGAATCCAAAAGATTTTCCTGGACAGGTCATTTGAAGAGGCAGCCTCGTACCAAGAACTCCAACTACTAGCTGAAGAAGCTCGAATGGTACCAGCAGAAGACTTGCATCAAGAGGAAGAATGGAGAAGACAGCTCCAGGGACAGGTGTCATCCCACTATATCGTGACCAAGTCACAGACGACTTCCTCTGGGACAAGCTCGTGTCTGATGACAGCATCTAGCCCGAGCAAGGGATCGTCGTTCGAAGCTATCGCCACGACTGTCGTTCGAACCCAACTGCAACAATCATCGAGGGACTCCATCCAGCAATCGAATCGAGTCAATGAGGAGCGTGTACCAGCAGATCCAATACCAATTTTCGTGGATGATTCTATGGCATCCGTATCGTCACCGGAACCATCCGAGCCGCCTCGAAAGCTTCTGAGAAGCAATGACAACCTATCGTCCATCCAAAAAATTAGTAAAAGACAAAACCAGGAGTCTTCCTCCGACCCATCCAAAGGTAGCAGTGCGAGTTACGGCGAGGAGAATGAAACTATCCTTCCATCGAATGCCTCAAATGAGTTAGAAGCCTGCGTAATTTTACCTTCGCACCCGAGAAAGCGTCGAAAGCTCACCGAGAATCATGCCGTCACTGTCACTCCCATCATTCCTAGTTCTTGCAGCAATCAACAATCATCCATCGAGTCACCGCTGGCAACTATTCCATTGTACTTCCGTCGAAACCTGGTTCATGATGACTCTTCCAACAGCTTAATCCCTTCCAACTCATCCAATCTCGCCAAGGATATCCAGGACTTCGTACAAAAAGTATGCTCAAACGGACAATATCCTCATACCAGGAGCCTCGATTCACGTGCGGCAAATCATGACCTTGCCCTGGGCATGTATATAGCAACAACATCGCAAGACTCTCTCGGGAATCTCCTTCTCGAACTCAGCCAACAAGTCTCAACAGCACTCAAATCGAACAGACATAAATTTCCGCGAAATGGCAAGATTTTCATCCTTGATGCTAAATTCCTCACTCTCAAGGCAAGACTAGACGACCCCAGATTCCTTCTTCGCATGACGTGGGAGAGTATCGGGAGAGAATACTTCTACGTCTGCGTATCGTGGAGCTCGGAGACAGGCGTTGAACACTCGGATGATGGTGTTTGTGTCTCGGAGATACCTGGGACCCCAGTGGATGGTGAAGGAGGTCATCGGTTATGTCTACCGGGGTTGATTAGAGCACAGAGTGCTGCGAGAGCACCACGTATCTCTATAACGTTTAACAGCCGCGAACTAGGAATTTTGGGAGATTGAATTTCTAGACGAGACGTCCCTTGAGTTGCGGTCCATTCTATACCCTCGGGACAGGAGCTGGCCAGTTCTTGCTGGGGGGGTACTGTTTAGAGCCTCCTTCTATGTACAGGCGTTCTTTGGACTCGACCATGGAATGATATTCTAATAGTTGGATTTGTATATAATAAGACGATTGAAAGGGGAAGTCAGTCAGTCACTGGAGAGAAACAGACTGTGATTTGCATGCTGAATGCAGAAGATGGTGGATTACCCTTTACATGCAACGTTGTTCAATGTATATTCGGCCATGAGTGGGCGTCATATTGGTCTATATCAAAGTTATACCCTACCCGTCCCATCGACATAAACGCCCTCGCTAAACTGAATGAAAAGAGTGAATCAACGTAGAGATGGCTCTGGAAATTATACACCTCCTTCTCGTCTAGCCCGGACATCTCTCATCAATGCCTTTGCCTCTTCGACTTCGACTCCGTCCTGACATAGTTCACCCGCCAATTGATCTGCTCTTTCCAGGTCACCGTGGCGCAAGGCCCACCGCGCAAGCCACAGACGTGCCTTGGATGTCGTAGCCGTCACACCAGTACCATGATATGCACCATCCTCGCTATCGTTCTGGTTGCCGAACGAAGACGACTGTCGAGCGCGCCGTGAGCCTTGCTGGCCTTCACCACCGGACTGGTCATCGTCGTTGTCATTATCCGAGACAAAGGATTCATCCTCGGGACCTTGGCCAGTTTCCTGCTGTAGCGTGAGCTCCATGTATGCGGCGGCTTCTTCTTCATCCCCGAGCCGCTCGTAGAGGGTGGCAATCTGGTGCAGGGTCTCGGGGTCGAGAATCTTGCGCCCCGGTCCGCCCATTCCACCGCCCTGCGAGGCGTCGTCTGCGTAATATGAACCGGCGACGAGAGCGCGCTTGAGCGCTTTGATGCTTTGCTCGACACGGCCCATCTTGGCATAGCAGGATCCCACCGCCTGCCACATTTTGGGATCGTAGGGTCGCAACGCTGCTGCGCGCTGGTAGTAGAATAAGGCGTAGAATGACATGTCGAGCACTTCGTACGCTTGGCCCAGCCCGTACCAAGCACGGTAATCTTTTCGGTTCACGTCAACGGCCCGGCGGTAGGACTCGATTGCCGCGTGAGTATTTTTCATTTCGATATATTCATGGCCCATGAGGGTCCAGGCCGAGAGAAAGTTTCGATCGAGGGTGAGAGCACGCCGGAAGTACATCACAGCTTTCTCATGTTCTGATTTTAGAGAGTAATAATTGCCGACAACACAGCATGTTTCAGGGCGGAACTTGTCGGTGGCGGTCGCAACCTGGGCGACGAAGGCTAGCTGTGGACGCGCTCCCATGACGTAAAGTATATTGGAGTAGTGATCAAGGCTGTCGAGACGGTGAGGGGACGTTATCAATATCTCTGTAAATATATGTGATGCTTCTTCAAAGTCTACTAGGATAGTTAGCCTGAGTTCAGCAACGGGAGTAGAAAACCAGAACCTTTCGAATGGTAATAGAGCAGCGCTTTTTGTGTCTTTAGGAATGCGCTGGTAGGAAAGATCGTCTCTAGCTCTGACAGCGCCTGATAGGTGTCTTCGGTCGCCTGGTAGAGCTCTTGACTGCAATAAACGTGAAAGATGAGCGTCATGATGTTCTGAGGCAGAAGGTCTACTATTTGTTTCAACTGCGCAAAGGATCAGTAACCGGCAACAGATCAGCAACAGCAAGGCAACATACGTCTTCCGTGCTTGAAAGCAAATCGTTCAGCTCTTGCCAAGCACCCCAATGAAATGGGTTCAAGTGAACACTCCTGATAAGCCATTTCTTGGCTTCCTCTTCATTGCGACCTTTTAGAAGGACAACACCGTAAAGATACTCCAGCCAGCCCTGGTTGCGCTCTTCCAGGCCTCTTTCCCGTCTCTCCGCGAACCATCCTTCAAGCCCCCAAGCCAAGCCGGGGAGTTCCCGGTTGACGGTCATCCCTCCATCTGCCGGGCCCAGCACCATCTCGGTCTCTTCATCCTTTCGCTTCTCCCCCGCTAGATATTTGGCGTACAAGGCGAGGAACAATGACTTTTGACTCAGCTTGGGATATGGATTCCTTGCCATGCTATTCCCTTCGCCACTCGAGTACGAAGTAGCCTTGGCTTTGCCTTTCTGCGGTGTCAATGATTGTCTCGTTTTCGGTTTCGGCGACGTTGTAGGCAGTGATGTGCTGGAGAGTGGGACAGGGGGTATGGTTGGTGGAAGGAAGACAGCAGCACAACGGTCATATTCGCGCGTATCAAAGTAGGATTTCGCTAATAGATATTTAGGAGTTTCTTGGGCCTCTAGCCTAAGCTCGAGAGGATCTTGGCTGCGAAGGTAAGGATTCTGGGGAGTCGGCGGGGCATCAGCTATTTCCATGGGCGAGTCAGGATCTGTATCATATTGATCAATCGGCAGGAGGGAGTCGAGCATCTCGGCAGCCCTGTATTGAGGAACCCAAATCAGTTTAACACTTAGCAAAAGGACAATCTCGGCCGGTACCATTTGGCAGATTGGTAAAGACATCGCTCGGAGCATTTGATGGTCGCGTCTTCAAATCGATACTGTAGATCCTTGATATTGTCTTCCGTTATATTCACCGCCATCTTGATCAGTGTTGAGGATCTTCCAAGATCCTATCGCACAGAATGACTCCGGTGGCGTGTTGGCATACGTTGTTGGACGCGTTGCGAAGCTCCTTCCTTGGTACTTAGACCGCTATCACATTCGTCTCTCATGCGGATCAAGAGCGGCGCTAGCTATTTCAACCGTCGCGTTGAGTCTGATCGCGCCTTGCTCGAATCGCAAAATGACCGACACGGACTTTTGTCGCTGAGATGATCCCGAGAGAGCTGCAGCAGCAGATCCAATGTAAGTCCAGGCAGTCCACAGGTACTGACAGCCGTATTATCTCAAACAGACGCAGATAACGACCCCAAATGCTGTGAGGGAGAACTTGGCAGTGCATAGAGGAGTGATCATCATCATCATCATACTTGACCGACAAATTTCCCGATTGGGCCAAAGAGAGCAAACAATGCAAACAGTCCCGTCCGAGGGGTTTCCGTTATCGTAGGTGTTTTCCGCCCCTCGACATTTTTGGTATTACTCGGCAACATCAATTACTTAAAAGGGGCTCGAAAATAACTGCATTGTTCCCCCAGGACACTTTCAATACAAGCAGGATGGCGACTACCACCAGCCGTGAAGCCTTTGAGGCTGTTTTCCCCACGTTGGCCGAAGATCTCCTGGCCCATGCTAAGAAATACAATCTGCCTGAGAATGCGTTAAAGTGGTTTGAACAGGTGAGCCCCGGCCGACGCGCTCGCTGACAATTGATCTCGGAACAATCTTGAAGCTGACCAATGTTGCTTCAATAGGCCCTCAATGTCAACGTTCCTGGCGGAAAGCTCAATCGCGGCCTCTCTGTTCCAGATACCGGCCTCGCTCTACTGCAGAAGCCCCTGACCGACGAGCAGTTCAAGCATCTTAGTATCCTGGGTTGGTTGACCGAGCTGCTCCAGGCTTTCTTCCTGGTCAGCGATGACATGATGGATGGCTCGATCACTCGTCGTGGCCAGCCTTGCTGGTACCGCCACCCCGGAGTTGGGATGATCGCTATCAACGACGCGTTCATGCTCGAGTCCGGAATCTACGTTATCCTCAAGAAGCACTTTCGCTCGCACCCGGCCTACGTTGATTTGCTTGAGCTGTTCCACGAGACCACCTGGCAGACAGAACTCGGTCAGCTGTGCGATCTCATTACGGCCCCTGAGGACAAGGTTGACCTGGACAACTTCTCCATGGAGAAGTACATGTTCATCGTGACCTACAAAACCGCTTACTACAGCTTCTACCTTCCCGTTGCTCTTGCGTTGCTCTACCTCGAACTCGCCACCCCTGAGAACCTCCAACAGACCCACGACATCCTGATCCCGCTGGGCCAGTACTTCCAGGTCCAGGACGACTACCTGGACGCCTATGGTGACCCGGCCGTTATTGGCAAAATCGGCACCGATATCCAGGACAACAAGTGCTCGTGGCTGATCAACCAAGCTCTTCAGCGTTGCAACACTGAGCAGCGCAAGCTCCTAGACACCGCCTACGGCCGCAAGGACGGCGAGCTTGAGGCCAAGGTCAAGGCGCTTTACAAGGAACTCGACTTGGAGAAGGTCTACAAGGAGTATGAGGAGAAGACCGTTGGTGAAATTCGCACCAAGATCGCAGCCATTGACGAAAGTCAGGGCCTGAAAAAGGAGGTCTTCGAGGCATTCCTGGGCAAGATCTACAAGCGTACCAAATAGTCGCATTAAAACTATGGGGCATGTTACCTTCTGTCTCTTAATACCATGCCTTGATTCATTTAGTTTCATACCCCACCAAACATATAGAACCGCTAATGATTATATGACGTGCTGTTAACCTGCATGTATGTACAATTCAAACCTCGTGTCGTTAGACAGATGCTTTCTTGATACAAATATTTAATACTTATAGAGAGGCTTCTTTGATCGTTGCACAATGACTCAAAGGAATGAACTGTACTTGATCGTGAGACGGGCTGGACATTTGCGGACTGGGGATCTGCCGTGAGAATTCGTGCCAACGCACGAATGCCCACTTGCCTTGCGACAATCGCAAACATCTGGATGGGAGCAATTCGAAATCAATCTGTCTGCCTCCTCAAGCCGGACTGGTCCTCCAATGCCGAAGTAAGCACCCATCCGTTGGCTTTGAAATCGATCTGGCCAGAGAATCGAGGATGAGAGACGACTGGCGCAGAAATCCACATAGAGCGATGTCAATGTTGATGCCACTCTGACCTTTGAGTCATTGTCTCAGCCAGTGTGATGTTCAGGAAGAAACGGCGTGCTTGAGGCACTCTCGGTGAGGTTAAGCAGGTTGCTGCAAGGTTCTTCTCATTCCTCGAAGAAGGAGGACATTGATTGAGTATCCGCGCATGATAACTGATCTGTACAAGGCGAGCCTCTTAACCTCTCGGGATGTCTGTAATGAGAAGTCAGAGAACGTTTGCAATGCGGGCTAAAGGCAAGAGCAGCGTAGTACTACGCGATACTTCCGCAAGGAGCCAGTTGCAGCAACCTCAGGACTCATCCTCCATCGCGCAGTCTTGTCCCCTCAAGTTGTCGTTAAGCCATGAATCTCCCTGAGACAGTAATTTCCAGCGACTCCAAACCCGAAATGCCTCGGGCATTGCCAAAAGTAGCGTGCTTCAGCTTTGATATATCTATGGACTCGATAAACAATGAATCCTGAGCGCCGTCATCATTTTGCACTGATACAAATAGCATCATTCAGGCACCACACAAGTGGCAGATAGACTCCATCTGGCGGCCAGCGCGTGCTGTGCTCCTTAAACCATCACTAAGTCTCTAGCCTTTTGATTACTCCGAAAGATGTAGATCTTGACTCCACCCGGCCACCCCATGCCCGCTCGACATACAATCTCGAGCTTGGGATTGCCGATTCATCGACAGAGCTAGAACACAGTCAAGAAACATGAAAGGATTTTGCGCCGATTATAACAATCCTTGGCAATCCCGGTGTCCAGACGAATTCAAGCCCATTTTGAGTGACGAGACACGAGTCAGGACGGCTTCGACTGGGTGGATCTAGGCGACGAGATGGTGCTCGCTGTCGTGGAGACGTGGACGTCCGCGCGTCTATCGCAACAGTTCAAAAATCTGATGTCGCAGTCATTTTTATCTCGCTCTCTTTCCTTTTCCTTCCTGAATACATGAGCCAACCAAATATGTTGGCTTCACGGTGGCCGACACATTGTTAGTGGCCCGGTCCGCTGTACCATATCCCCAGACATCTTTCTTCATTTTTGATGTGATGAGGCTGCGAGACCTATGGTTCGCCGTCGCAACGGCATTTACTCTTGTGCAAGCAGATCGCGGACCGTATTTCCAGTCGAGTCGCTTTGAAGATGGGGACCTTGGACAATTGCCCACGGAGACGTATCGTTCGACTGCTCTGATGGGGCCCATATTGAACTACGTGAAGTCCAATCCTCAATGCAAGGATGGGCAGTACACGCTGATTGCGCCTCGTGGAATGGTGGTGCGAGATCCGGGGCCCACGATCATCGATCAGGATGGCCACCTGGTGTGGACTAAGCACTACGGCCAGACGTACAACGCGAACGTGTACAGGTACAAAGGCCAGGACTATCTCACGTTCTGGGTCGGTAACGACGGCATCGTTGGTCATGGCGACGGGACATACTACATGGTAAGCCCTGTGACTAGATGTTAAAAAGGCGGCAGATGCTAATCCTCCGTATAGCTAGATTCGGCCTACGAAGAGGCGTATACGGTCCGGGGTGCCAACGGCCTGCCCGCAGACCTCCACGAGTTCCACATCACCGGCGATGAAACCGCCATCTTCACCGTCTACGACGTCGTCCCCGCAGATCTACGGTCTGGAGGCGGCCCGGAAAAGGGCTGGATATGGGACGGCACATTCCAAGAGGTCGACATCGAGACTGGCCAGCTGCTCTTCCAATGGCGCGCATTCGAACACTTCAACCTCACCGACGGCTACCGTGGCCGCGAAGGTACCGGCGACTCACAAGACCGCCCCTGGGACTTCTTCCACATCAACAGCGTCGACAAGGACGCGACGGGCAACTTCCTAGTCTCCTCGCGCTACATGAGCTGTCTCACGTACATCGACGGCCGCACAGGCAAGATCATCTGGCGCCTCGGCGGCAAGCACAACGACTTCCAAGACCTCTCCGCCGGCGCCGCCACAAACTTCACCTGGCAGCACCACGCCCGCTTCCGCGACAACGGCTCGGCCATCACGCTCTTCGACAACGACTCCCGCGGCGAGGGCGCCCCAAGCCTCGCCAGTCGAGGCCTCTACCTCGACCTCGACACGCAGCAAATGACCGTCCGCGTCCGACACGAGTACTGGAACCCGCACCCCATCAGCAGCCAGTCCCAGGGGTCCGTCCAGCTCCTCGACAGCGGTAATATCCTCCTCGGCTATGGCGCCAACGCCGCATGGACAGAGTACACCATTGGCGGCGACGTCGTCTGCCACGTCCACTTCGGCCCGCAATCCGCCTTCGGCGCAGGCAATGTCCTCTCCTACCGCGTCTTCAAACACGCCTGGACCGGCCGCCCGCGCACGAACCCGGATCTCGCCCTGTACCGCTACGAAGCAGCCGTCAGCTGGAACGGAGCCACAGAGGTCGCGAACTGGGTCCTTGAGGGATCGGACACGCAGCCTGACGATGACGACGAGGAGTCAATAACCTTCCTCACCGCCGTCCCCAAATCCGGCTTCGAAACTATCATCCCCATCCCCGCGCAAATATCCCAGGTCTACCTGCGTGTCCTTGGCCTCAATGCTACAGGCCAGATCCTCGGTGCGACGGCATGGCTGCAGTGGGACCCGGCAGCCAACGAAGTCGCCCTCGGCCCCGGCGACAGCGACACCGACAACGCCGCGTCCTCGATCGATGTGCGCGCGTTCTTGTTCTTTGCCGTGGGATTCTCCTCTGCTTTTGTCCTGGCTGTGTGTGCCTGGTTTGTCCGGCGACGGGTTGCGGCGCGCGCTGCTGGCCCAGAAGGTAACCGGGAACGGGGCGGGTGGAGGCCCGTGGATGAGTTCAATGGGGATGAGCATGATCTTAGCGAGGGGGAGTTTGAGGGGGTTGAATTTTCACTGTTGGGGAATGAGCGATTGTCGCGTTCGACTTTCAGTGGGGAGCTTGATGATGATGGTGATTGAGCAGTCTGGATTTATATGCTACTCTTAATGCTACTATGAATCACATATGAAGGCAAATCAGGGAATGAATACGAGTAATCATCACCTCTCATGGACTGGAAGCTATCTTGCAGAAGCGCAATGATAGGTTTACCTCAACAGCAAGGACTGAATTAGCCATCAGACATCAGACCTAGAGGTCCATTATGGCTGTTACAACCGAATTGATCAATTCATGATTTCATTGGTTGTCTCACTGCGAGACTAATGAGCGACTGACTAGGCTATCTGAACCATAAAAGATTGTTGGTCCAGTATCAAGTTCAACTACCCAAAGAAAGGGGGAAAGCTCCCTTAAGCAGTAGCAGCCACCTGAAGGCGCTTGAAACCGCCCTCAGCGGCAACCTGCTTCTGCAGCTCAGCCATGCGCTTCTGGTCACCAAGAGGGTCGGTGGAGTCCTCATCCAGGTCCCAGGAGAGGTACTTGTTGGTGTAGTTGGGCTCAAAGTCCGCGTCGAGGATGCCCAGGCGCTTTCCGTAATTGGTGACCTTGGCCCAGTCACGCTGGACGTTCTTCAGATCACGGCTGAAGTAGGCAAAGGAGCGCTCGAAGATCTTGCGGTTCACGGGGGTTCCCATGATGGGCTTGACGTCGATGTACTCCTCGTAGGCCTTGGCGGGCTCCGCGAGGACGTAGTCGGTCGCACGCTTGACGGCGCGCATGAACTTCTGCACCTTCTCGGGGTTGGCGGCCAGGAAGGCGTCGTTGGCGATGTAGAGGATGGAGCAGAAGCAGCAGCAGCCTAGCTCGGCGAGTTGGTCGATGCGGAGCATCTGGACGTCGTCGCGGGGACGGTTCTGAGAGGCAAGCCACTCGGCTAGCTCGACCATCTGCACATTCTCGAGGCCGATGCCGGCGTCAATGTCACCGCGGATGATGGCCTTGGTGACGTTCATGCCGCAGCGGACGGCAGTGTAGTCGTCGGCGGTCATGCCGTAGTACTTGGTGAGCTCATCGATTTGGATCTATCATTCACCGCAGTGAGTGCATGTCCTTGTATCCAGAGTAAAAAGTCAAGACAAACCTTGCCAAACTCTCCGACATAGCCGATTCTCTTGCCCTTCAGGGAGCGAAAGTCCCCGGTGATTCCGCTGTCCTTGAGATAGACAACACCAGTGAAAGGCTCGTCGAGCAGAGAGCCAATTGAGGTGACGGGGAAGTTACGAGCTTTAGCCTGGATGACTGTGAGCATCAAACCATCAATGACGCCAAGCAGCCACATACAGCAAGAGTATGAATCATAGCCTTGAAGCCCATGTCAACCTTGCCGCTGCCGATGATCTCGGTCACATCGGAGGGGTCGTTAGGCTCCAGAAGAGCAACCTTTAGGCCCTCTTCCTTGAAGAAGCCCTTGCTGTGGGCAAGGTACAGAGGGGCATGGTAGGGCGTCGCGTGCCTACAAACAAGACGGACCACTTAGCAAGCTGGTCTCACAACACTCAATACCAAACAAAGATCGGTAGGTAGCAGAACAACTGCAAAAAGCCGTACCAGTTGGTCAAAAAGGTGATCTTGTCAGTAGACATCTTGACACCGATTCACTTGACGGCAATTGCAATTGTTCTAGAATCAGTCAGCACACAGAGAGGTAACTGCCCCCCTCATCTTTCATAAAGGGGGTAGGGGACAATCAGTGCCACGCATGTCCTTTCGCTAGTATTATCTAGATCAAGTTATGACAGTATAATCTCAGAACGACCGGGTTTCTGTCTGAGGACTGGGCCCGTCCATCCTCCGGGTCAAAAGACCACAGACCGGTTGAGTATACCGAGCAACGAATGCACCGGTATCCAGACAGAAACCCAGATCGAACACCTGTCATGCGCGAGCAGTGACTGTTATTATACAATGTACGATACCTTGATCCATATCAACCCCTAGCGAAGAAGACCCTGAGAGGGTCATCCTGACTGCGCGGCCCCATGGTGAGTCCTACCAGAGGGATGGCAGAAGTTTCTATCGATGAATTGACAGATAATGTGAAGATAGGGTAGAGAAACAATGAGCAGGAGAAGAGCAGGAGGACGAGGAGGAGGAGGGGTAGAAATAATTGGGCGGAGGGGAGCAGGCCGACTACCCCACCATGACCACCTCAGGTATCAGTCTCACCGGGATGGCTCCATCCTCCATCTACTTCAGGTTCAAGGTTGCTTGCTATCCACTGTGGGCTACGAAAACAATCAATTGCTTTGATTGGCTTTAGACATGTGCAGTATTACCGTTCTCACCACATCACTATGATCATATCCCTCCCTCCCTCCTATTCAAGATCCGATAATTGCCGGACAGACAATGCGACAATGACTCAATGTTTCGAACGACGTAATCCACCACTGAGCGGATCACCACTTTAGAATTCTACGAGACTTGATATTTTGAAGCTATCTAACACAACCAAATAAGGCATTTTCCATTGAAACCAGCTAGTATGGCGTGTAGGGCAGCGAATTCTAGTATGTCAATTATAAAACAATTTGAACACCTTGGTGGAGCGTGTTTTAGGGGGTTCTAAAAGCAGAGGCGCAGAATCAACAGATGACACTCAAAGCTCATTACCTTGCTCAATCCTCGCCTGGATAAGATCCGTAGCTTCCTGGACTGAGAGGCCTTCATTGGGAGTCATCTGGCGTTTAGATTGCTTCCTTTTCTGCTTCTCTTTCTCATTAGCTAAGTGTAAATCATGATTCTCCTTATCAAGAATGTCTGCATTATGTAGAGCCATCTCGCAGCCCTTAATAAGCTATTCTAGTGCTTGATTTGAAGATGAAGATGGGCTTTAATCCTTGCTCAAGGAGCTTCCTAAGCGAGGAAGCTTGACCGCCTAACTATTGGATACTATGAGGTGTTATAAGTTAGAATTCAAAGACTGGCTCCCTAGAGCATGGGGCGTATCAAAACGGGTATTAAGGTGGATATTAAGCTAGTCCAGGACCCTCTCTGGCTTAAAGAGAGCTATTCTAGTTGGTATAAAGCCATTCTGTGTATTTTCAGGCTTAAAAACCTCCTAGTGCGCGGTTAGATGGGCCGTTAAGAATTTATTAAAATGGTTGTATCTAAGGCGCATTCTCTATCCCACTAAGCTTCAATATGCCCGCTTTAGAGGTCCGAAATAACCAATATTTAGTAGTTATAGAAGGTGGGAAGAATGAGCAGGCATATAAATAGCTAAAATCCCATTATATAAGGAACATCAAAGATAGCAGCTGCGCGATGAATTATTTCTTTCTTCTTTAAAGTAGGAACTGCTAAGAGAATCCTTCCCTCTTGTTCCACTAAGATTTCTGAAGATAATACGCGGTTTTAGTGGCACAGTTGCTGTTCGAATTGCTTCAAATATTAAGGATGGTTGAATTCAAAGTGGTGATCCGCTTGGGGGTGGATTACTTAGGGTATGCTTGGATGCAAAGCAAACCTGGGCAGCCCGGTATCCTTGCAAATCCCATGAATTATGCTAATATCACTGCTCATCTACTATATATTTAACTACAGTAGACACTTCGAGACATACAAATGCAATTTCTCAAGGCCTCATCTCTGTTAACATAGAATCTACCATCATGGAGATTCGAGGGGGAAACAATAAACAACACGCTATGTAGAGAGCAAGACATAAATGACGGATGAACAGATGCAGACATGGCATAGAATTCAACAGCAGCACGACTCTCAGTCATTAGGTGATGATGGTCGTATCGACGCAACAAACAGTCGGGTCAAATAATTCCACGTTAGTAATCTCCAAGAAACTATAGCATGTAGTTGAAATGATGACATGAGAGAACAAGAAAAGAGGACATGCAGGTTTGATGCAGAATAGAGAAACAAAGAAAATGGAATGGAAAAAATGAAGATCGACAATCAGTGGGGTTACAGCTGCCGGTGACTTAATTCTTTACATTTTTAAATCATGCTCACTTGGAGTTGTGGATCCACAAAGTCATCAACCATCGATCATGGCCATCGGAATCAGCGGCTGCCGTTTACGGGGATGCTATCTAGCGGGGACGAAGGTCGGTCCGAAGCCTTCTTCGTCCGTAGAGTAAGCGGGAAGTAATGGTCATCAGGCTCTTCCTCTTCGCTGGTACTGCGTCTTGTCAGTGATGTCCTGTCCTCATTGCCCGGATTTAGGTGGAGACTTACGGTAAACGCCATGCGATATAGTCCTCAGTTCCCAGGCCCTCCTTGACTTCCTGGATGGTAGCAAAATCACCCGGAGTCATCACTCCGGATCGGTCCCGGGGAGACCCGGGGACTGACAATGGCCGCGAAAGCTTCTGCTCTGTTCCTCCAATAACATCGAAATAGTCTTCGGGACCATCGAAGGATGAAGGGTAGGCTATATACGGCATTAATATCACGTACTCAGCTGGGGACAATGACTTTTCCTGACCTCTTCTTAGAGCCAGCTGTCTGGCTTTGACATATTCCAAACCCATACGCTTCCAATCGAGTAGGTCACTCAAACGTTCCGTGCGGTTCCTTTGGTTAATGCGCTGTCGCCGGCTCTTCTGGGTGAAGTTGAACATGAAATCAGACAGCTGATTGACAGAGTCATCAACGCCCTTCATGCGACGATCCACAATGTAGATTCCATAGTCGGAGGAGTTTTCAATCAATTCCTCCATGTAGCAGCCAAAACCGGACAAGTTGGTGGTGATGCTTGGAACGCCCATCACGGTACATTCTGCAGGCGTGTAGCCCCAGGGTTCGTAGTAGGATGGGAAGACTCCCAGATGGGTACCACGGACAAAGTCGTCGTAATCCAGAGGCAGAACAGGGTTGGAGGAGTTCAGGAACTCCGGATGGAAGATGACCTTGACGCGGTCCGTAGGGTAGTTGAAAAGCTCGACCCGACGAATTTGGTTAAGAATCGGATCTTCATGGTCGTTGAGCATATTGTGGGTCACAATGGGAGGCAGTCCGTGTCGCTTCATGGCGAAGAGTCTCCGACGCAGCAGCACACGGTCTTGGCTTGTGATCAGGTCCTTCTCGTCAGGCATGTTGTCGCCTTCTTTCCAGGCCAGACAGCGCTCGTACATCCGTTTTCCGATACTCTTTTCGATCATTTCGATTGTGTCTCGCAAGGACTTGACGACAGCTTGACCCTTGAGGGCCTCCACGGTCAGCGACGACGTCTGCGCTGGCATGATGATAAAGGCCACAACCGTCGTTTTGGACCCGGTAGCTTTAAGACGATGATTGAGCCGAGCCAGGCCCTCGATGAACATATCCACTCCCTTATTCCGGAATTCATACCGACCTGCCGTGAAGACGTAGAGTGTGTTGTCCAGATCAAAGTCATTATGGCCATAGAAGTGACCGCGGACGAAGTCGTTGATCTTCTCTTTGGACTGGGAGTGCAAGTTTTGGAACTCATGAACTGCAGCGAACTTCTTGACATTCAATCCATTGGGGAGCACCCCGTCCGGTTTGCGCTTGAGCAGATGCTCGCTCTCAAATGCAGTGATGTGTGAGACTGTAGTGAAGACGTCTGCGCTGTGCGCGGCGGCTCTTTCGATGCAGTACCTATGGTAGATGCCTCTCTTGCCAGCCTCGGCGTCCACATCGAAATGCTGTAGATTGTTGTAGAAGTCGACAGACCCTGCGCAAAGATACCGACCAAGCAAGGTTGCGTGAGTCGTGAAGATAGTGGTCAAGTCCATGTGCCTCTTCTTGGCCAGAGGAAGGGCAACGCCGGCAAGCCATTCGTGGAAATGAGCAACTACAGCATGTCGGCGTTCGTGAGCGATAAACTGAAGCCATCGGTTAGCATCGTCGCCTACGGAGATCAATCTGCTGTCAATGTCCATAAAAGCGCACGTACTTCTCCCAAAAACCATGCCACCAGGTAACCGAAGACGATAGCCTCATTGGTCTCCGAATCCGACGCCGGAGATGGAATACCGGCTATATTCCAGAGGTCGCCCTTCCACTCATCCAGGTACTTGTATCCAGTTCCTGTATCGATGAGGAGAACACGGGGAGCACCCTCGATCAGCCAGCGACCATACACCATATCAATGCCACGCTCCTTCATGGAGTTCATGGTCTCCAGCATGCGGGGGTTCGACGGGGTCAGCTCCTCCACCTCCACGGCTGCGGAGGCCCGGTTCAGAGGGCCGATCAGAGTGTACCGATCGCCATATTCAGCTGTAGTGACCGGAGCTTTAGATTTCAGCACGGAGTAAATACCACCGACTCGGTTGGCGACTTCGGTGGCAATCTCGAAGAGGATGTGGTTGCGGACATCTCTCTTTGGAGGGTCGGGACCAGTATCCTCGCTGTCCATTGTGATGGCTTGAATTGTAGGTTAGAAGCTGTAGGGAGTATGCAATATCGTAAGAATCAAAAACAAAAATGAGGACTGAAGCGAGCTCCGAGGTAGAGCTAGCTGACCAGCACAAGGCACAATCAAGATGGGTTCGAAAGCAACAAAGAGAAAAAGGTCTGCGTTGAGGAAAGAAATGGGAGAGGCACGAACCTGCAGCTTTTCGTCCGTCTTTCTCCAAAAGGTTGTTTCGACCGTGCGGGGGTCCGAGTGGCGGGGATTAGTCTAGTGTGGGAGGTTGGTTCTGCGTTTGTCCAGATTCAGCTGCGGGTGAGGTTGTCTTGTCTCAGGTACCAGAGGGGTCTGAGGCCACACGAGAAGAGGGAGGAGGGATGAAGAGATTTTGGAGGGAATTCAAAATGGAGCGAAGAGGTAGAATTATAAAACTTGGAATGCCAATGATAATTTATCTGACGAAAGAAAATTCTGCTCTCCCTAGTTCGCCTCCTTTTAAATGTACTGGCTTGCCTACTACTTGCTTAAAAGTGTTGGGGGGTGGTTGCGCACCCTGGACCAAGGACATGCTACCGTCCTTTAGCTTGGCCCAGCTTGACCAGGGTTTTGTGTCTGTGCAACCACTGTTCTTCTGCCTTTTATACTACATACTTTTATTTTCTGTTCCCACAATTGAGTACTTGAATAGGTTGGCAACAGTGTTAATTTGCGTTGGAGTAGACCAGAAATGTTCTCGGTGTGCAATGGGAGCTTTGTGCCCTTATTTCATGCAGTATGGTACCGCCGTAGCTACTCCTGATCCTTGAGCTCTGCCGCTCCAAGGTATCGCCCTCCCACGTAAATAGTCGATCATTCAAATTTTCCACCACCCCAGGACTACATCCAACGAGAGCTCGATGATCAGCAGGCCATGTAGTCATTCCTTTATAATAGTTCTGTAATAATGTGTAGCATACCTCACAGGCACTAACTAACTTAACCAACATAGAATCCCCGCTCGACACTGGACAGCAGATCTGGGGAAAGCTGCTGGGTTATGATGTCATGACCCGCTCTTCAGGATTGCTGCATGTGACTTCTTCTGCCAATCAGGTTTTGACCACATTTAGCGTGTTGAAGTTTCAGGCTGTTATTGAGAGGGGTACCTTCAGATAGTACCATGGACAGCACATTAGACAGCCCTGATGATGATGTGTCGGACCCTTAAATGGATAAGCTATGTGCATGATATGCCGATTCAGTAGACTCCTCCTCACTCTCAAACTGCTTTGTTCTCCCGTGCAACTGGTCAAAAACTGGTCAAAAGATCTTGCAGCTCGTCCAGTGACATGTTTCCACTCTATCGCTCATTCCAGCCTCAAAGCCAGTTAACTGATGCTACCGGTCTCGAGGTTAATCAGATATCGGGCATAGTAGCCTGAGACGCTAGCCTTGACCAATTCTTTGTACCGCTCATCTCCTGTCATCGAAGATTACAGTCAGCTTCTCGGGTAGATGATCTGATCATAAGTAAGAAACTCTGGTCCCACAGAATGTGGTTATGTGGTTATCACAATTGTGTGATTGAGGATCCGTCAGGGCTCGAAAAGCGAGTGCCGCAATGTCAATGACACTGATGACGGGAGTTTTACCATCGCCGCAGGCAGTGTAGATCTTGCTCTGATTGCGAATCACAGCACATGGGGTCTCTTCTGAGAGGTTCTCTGATGCCACAATGACGAAAAGCAATGCGAGTTAGCAGGTTCAAAGAATGGCATAACTGAGTACTTACCCGTGAACCAACTTGGGCGCAGGACAGAGTAATCGATTTCGTTATCGAGAAAATGTTGCCAGACCATGCCCATGCCTGGTTTTCCTGGCTCAGCAGAGGTATCGGCGACCAAGCCATACCTCACAACTGTGTGGTTCCCGCGCGCACTCGATGAACTCAATCAGGGGCTTCCATGGCTCCGGCTCCAACGGCTCCATGAGATAGATCGCCAACATACTTACGCTTTCCACAAACTGACACCGAAATGGTCGCTCCCAGGTAGATTTGTCCAACCAGTTGAAGGTCACCGCTGGCATGCCTGGTGGTGCCGCTGCAGAACCGCGCCGCGAGGCCAGCAGAAATGGAATATTGGCATTATGGAGGAAACGAGCCAGACGGATGGATGTTTTACCCATCCCACCAGTCAACAATAGCCATTTTCCTGTTGACCAAGTTGTCAGTTGAGATATCATTATCTAGGATCAGCTTGTGCCCTTCCTACGCGATTGATCTATATCCCAGTACTGTATGTTGAGATGTGAAGGCCTAGAAAGACTTAATATAATATTAACTCCGAGCATTGCACTCGGAGCAGAGGCTGTATATACGACGGGGATAAAATTCCTCACGCTCAACAGCTGCAGATCAGTTAAAATCATGATGATATCGAGCAAGCCTCGACTTTCCTGGCTTTTATCTCCGGTCATATCAACAATCCTAAGAAACATGACTATGCCGCTGTCAGATGTTGCTGAACACATCTGCCAAAGGAGAATATCTCGGCTGAGAAACCTGTTTATTGACATTACTGTTCTATTGTTCTCTCGTCGTCTAGACTCGGTCTGCTCCAGTCTCCAAGCACCAATGTCCGGCCCAACTGGATCTCACCTGAAAAGATTGCCCGAGATAAAGACGATAGGATGTGAGGCATTCGCTGGACCTGGCAGACATTACAAACATAAATATCTAAGTGCTCTATTTCAAACGTCTATCCACATTATGCTAGAATCCGTCTATAAGCAAGTCAATGAGAAGAAAGCTGTTTGCACAGTCTACCTCAAGGAAGAATAACAATCTTCCCTTCCGCTTCATTTTCTTCCATACACCGATGGGCCTCCACAATCTGTTCCATCCGCAGCACTCGTCCAATCTTGAATTTCAAACTTCCCTGCTCAACCAGCCTCAGTATCGCATCTAGCGGCGTGCTCATGAAATCCTCAGACGTCCCCCGGTACACCGTCAACTTGATCCCGGAGGGGATCAACTCCATCAGATCCACCGTCTCCAGATCCCCATTCTCACACACCCTGCCAACCAAAGATACAATACCACCTTTCTTGACACACCGCAGCGAGTCAGCTAAAGTAGCCGCGCCCACCAGCTCAAGTACCTTATCATAGTAAGCCCCCGAGCCAGCCGCCCGAATCTGCTCCGCAACCGCCCCATCATCAATCCAGACCCGATCCACCCCATTTTCAAGCAACATCGTCTCCCGCTCCTTCATCCTCGTCGTAGTGGCCACATACGCCCCGTGCACCTTCGCAATCGCAGCGGCCGCCAGCCCCACAGACGTCGAGCCCCCACGTATCAACAACCTTTCCCGGGCCCTCAGCCCCAGCGACCGGATCAGCGCCCCCCACGCCGTCGGCACCATCACCGGGATCGCTCCAAGAATCTCCCATGGCAGAGTCGTCTTTGGCCGGAGGAGCTGTGTTTGCCCCGCCGGAACGCACGTGTACTCGGCGTAGCCCCCATCGAAAACAGCCCCCATCCCGCCCATGGCGGTCGCTACGATGCTACCCGGCGGGAAGATATGTTCTAGGCCCGGGGCCGTATCGACGATGCCGACGGCTTCGATGCCAGGGATTCGGGGATAGGTGATGGGGTGGTGGCCTTGTCGGGTGAGAAGGTCGCAGCGGTTGAGGCCGAATGCTTTGATTCTGATGCGGAGTTCACCTGGTTTCGGGATTGGGATTGGGTGGTGAGTGAGTTTGAGAGTGTCTGGGGGCCCAGGGGTATGCAGGATGATGGCTTTCATAGAGGGCATTATTTCCCCTTCAATAGAGTACTGTCTGTAGGGTTTTATCTGAGAGGAGTAGTAGGTATCTACTACATGATTTGTGGTGAAATGGATGATGGTTCTTAAGCTATCCCTTCCTGCATTATCGCCCCTCCTGCATGCAGCAGTCCCGACACCGAGTGAAGGAACGCATGCTCAGCTGCTCGCCAGTTGTTGGTTCTTCTCTGAACTGCTCAGACAAACATCCGTGCCTGAGGTATTTCACAGTGTAGTTGCCAGTTGGCGGGGTAATCTTAGCCTGAAGGGTCAGGTACACAATATAGATTCCAAGTCATCCACTGTATCTCCCATACTCGCGTGCCTATTTTCCACATTTACAATCTCTTAATTTGGAATATTGTGCTCCGTAATTAGAACTCTTCGGACCCTTCTACTAATGACTAATTCACTCTGGTGTCATCGTACCTTGACCGGAGCAGATGAAGTCATTTGGTTCTCGTTCTCGCTCCACAATGACCTCATGATGCTGTCAGTGTCGTCTTCCACCGCAACCAAGAAGATCTACCTACCAGCGCAGAGATAGTTATATAGAGCTGGAAATTCCTTTGCTGCTGCCATCAACTACCTCTATCAATTGAAACTCAATTCTTTAGACAACAAAGCTACACTACCAATCCTCTACATCAAGTATCCGTACGAATTGCCTACGCAAACGCTCAATCGACACCTGCTAACAAGTTCCAGATCTATCTACCTCTCCCTTCAATAACGAACAATCATCATGCCTCGCGGAGCAGAATACGACAACGGCATCCCCCAGTCCGACAATGCCATCGAGGCCGGCGAGACAAAGGTCCACGGCACCAACTCTGCTGTATGTCCATGTCCCCGTCCACCACCCCATTCTCTTCTCACTAGAACAATGGATGCTAACGACAGCAGAACGACCACCTCGATCGCGTCGACCGCACAGCCCCCCTCCCCGATGTCCCTGCCGGCGGCATGCACAGCGGCGGCGGTGCCCCCGGCCACTCGAGCGGCAAGGGCGGCCACGAGCCTCGCACTCTAGGCGAGAACAAGGGTCTTGGTGCGAACAAGGCGTGAGTCTGTGGAACGAAGATTTGATTTCGAGTGTGTAAGATTTGGGTGAACCGGCATGCGGGTTTTGCTGGAGTTTGGTCTGGGTCTGCGCGGTGCGTTTGGGCCTGGTCTGGCCTGTATGGTATGCATTGAAGCGAGGGCTTCTTTCGTCATGATTCACTGTAAAGTATACAATTCATTTGATGAAATGAAAATGATATGAAATCATAGATGAAGTATATGTGTTCTTTCGATTGGGGATGTAGTGGAGGGTATGGTATAGTAGCATCACCTATATACAAGTCTTAACACTGCAGCGACTCCCTATTAATATTATGAACATGTTGGTGATTACCGGTGTTGTCGGACACTAGGAGTTACCATGCCATGCAATGCGATCCTAACGTCAAGAGGAACTCCTCGAGCTCTCTTCGCTGGTCTCCCGGGGCGATTCCTTCGGTGACTCGGTTGGTGCGGTTGGCTTCTCGTCCGGCGATGAAGTACTCTTGCCCTGGACCAACTCAAGCAGACGCTGTCCCAAGTCTCCGAAGCCGTCGATCTTGCTTAGCTTGGTCTGGAAATATTCTGCATCCCGTTGCATCCTAAGAATGATTAGAACAGATCGACTCCGAATCAGAAGAAGGCGACGTACCTCTGTTTACCGGCTTCCGTGCGGACGGTGACCTCTTCAAACGCTCTGGTCCATTGATCACGGTAGCTTCTAAACACGGGATCCATGATCATCATGACTGTCGTCTCCGGCAGATGCTTGCTCAGAACACGGTGCAGTGTGCCCGTTTCCTTCGTCAAGGTCTCCATGTACGCGTTGACGTTATTTCCCGCCGCTGCGTCCCAGTCAATTTTCTTCATTGCGTTGACGTGCGCAGAAGCCCGGCCGGTCATGATGTCGACAAGTTTCTCGTGGATTCCAGACTGATGTTCCTGGTACAGCCGCTTGACCTTGTCGAATTCGGCCATTAGGGGGCTCGACGGGGCATGCCGTCGCACAAATTCCCTTATATAAGGTACCAAGGCGATAATAAAGCTCAGAGCTTGTGAGGAAAGAGCGAGATGTTTTGTGGTAATATTTTTCAAGCCCGCGCTCCTTGTGGCTCCAGCACCAAGAATGAGCTGCGAGGATCGAGAATTGAATAACTTCAATGACTCCAACAGACCAGGGGCAATATCCTGCATCATACTTGGAATATTGGCCATAAGAAATTGAAACTCCTCAATGCTCTTCATCATCGCCACCGCGCATTCAGGAAGGATATACTTCTGCTCGTCAATCACGGCACTGCGCACCTTGTCCTTGCCTGTGCCATTGGTAGCAGCGGAATCTGTCCCCGCGTTCTCGTTCTGTTGTTCCTGCGGCGACCAGATCCTAGAGACGGCTAACCAGGCTTCAACATCCTTGGTGCTCGCATCGAGAATTTTGCTGAGAATGGCAGTCTCTGTCTCGCCAAAATCGCGCGCGTCCCACCGGTCGGAGTCCATCACGTCGACGAGACGGTGCCGTTGGTTCTCCCCGAATCTGCTAATGTAGTCGCGGATCTGGTTGCTGACAACCGTCTTCAGGGCTGTGCCGCTTCTCCCAGAAATAGCCTCGCATTCGTCGGCGAAAAGTCGATTCAGTGTGAAGTAGCGTAGAAACTCCTCCTTGGGCAATTGAGATGTCTGTTCCGACCGAACCTTCAATACCTTTGTAATTTGTGACTGAGCAATGTCAACAGCCTGTCCAAGAAGGCTGGACATGTCCAGAACCTGCAAGATTTCGTCCTGCGCTTGAATTGTCGCTGGCAGCCGAGAACCCATCAGGTTGGCCATACTCTGTGGGTCAGGACTTCGAGGGGGTGAGCTGAGCCCAGCATTCGCAGGATTCTCAAGCCCACTCGCGATGTCGAGAAGTACTTTGACTTGAACACTAAGTCTCCGCAATGACTCGCTGATGCCGGTGTAGACTCGAGTGAGCATATTGTAGGCATCCTCCGCGTCTAGAGCGCGCAGGTTGCGTGCTAGTATCGATGATTTTTCTTGTTGGCTACGTTGTTGGGACCTGTGCGTAGAGACGGACACCACCGACTCACTGTCATCATCGCTGGAGCTAGGCATATGTTTACGGATCAGGCCCTTCATCTCCCGAAGAACAGCTGTCTTGAACGAAGTCGCTGCTGGCGTCGTGTATTGCGCACGGGCGAGCCCAATCAGATTCGTATGGAGCCGTGTTCTCACGTCTTCGTCAAACTTCATATAAGCTGGAGATGACGAGGCACCAGAGCGCTGCGCTCCGCGTTGTCGTTGGAGTGAGGAGCCCCAGCGTTGTAGTGTCACATCGGAAGGCACATTTTCAACGTGTTCGCGCAAGTCCCCGAGTAGATCGTTCAAGAACCGGTTCTCGTATCCCATGCCTATCCGGTACCTCAGCTGCGCAAGGTCATCCGAAGCACCTTCAAGGGCCTTAAGTCTCCGCAAGTCGATCGGCCTCCTGGGTTGATCTTGAGATGCACCATCCTCGCCGCTATTGGCGGATTGCTCCCCAGCCATCAATCGCTCCACTTCTTCAAGACTATCTGCAGCTTCCTCGATCTGCCCGTTCTCAACCAATTCCTCGCATCGGGCAACTGACTGGACAACATCTCGCAGCTGGGATACCGCGTCCGCAAGCATTCGCACATTCTCCCTGCGGCGTCGCAAATTGACAATTTTCAAGCCACCCAACGCCATCTCACGGTCGATCTTTTGAAGATCTTTTCGTAGGATCTGTATCCTTTTGACCGAATCGGCTGCCTCTGAATGTAATTCACGCAGGGAGCCTAGCGCGGTAAAAAAAGATTTAGACGCACTCGAAATGGAAGAGATGAGGTGAACCTCGACAGTATCCATGTACCATGAGAGTTTTTCTTGTAGGATTGCATTTGTGGCAAGCGCCTTTCTCCCGGTGTTCGCTGTTTCAGCGGCCAATTCATTGGTCCCTTGGCCGTCCCTTCCAGGTAACTTTGGGGGTCTCACAACTTCCGACTTTTCAGATATCACGTCGAAAGTCCGGGGGTTTTCAAGGTGAAAGTCATCCTCGAAATAGACCGGCGGAATTACAGACAGGGGAGTGATCCCCTGGCCGCGGCCTCGACCAGATGACCGCCTTCTGCCTCGTGGATCGAAAGGCGATGTTGCTCTGGAGCTCGTCGAAAGCACCGATGCTCGTCTCTCCGTAGGCAGTGGCATCAGAGTGCCATGCTCGTCCGGTCTCGAAGCAGTCTTGCCATCCCGAGCCAGCTGAGCATCCTGATCGGCCGGAGACTCTTTTGCCTGCTGAAACACCTCGTATAGTGACCCAACCTGCGACAGGTACGGCTGAAAGGCTTTGGAGTCGACATGTGGAATATTTGTCAATGTGACTGGAGGGATGTCTCGTGTGCTGGGCGGCTTGTACCCGGTGGACGCTACGGCGGTATGCGGAACAAGACCTGTACGGACGATCGGGGGCTGAAGAAGGGTGGAGATTGCTGCAAAACGCATTGATTAGTGACAAAACAACTGAGAGACACCTAGAGATATCGCACCATTTTGTCCTGACTCCGCGATTGAACCATGGTGTTGGGATGGATCAAGAACCCCTCCAATGCTAGCTATGGAGCTGGCAGTTGATCCTCTTCGCAAAGGGAACTTCTGAGGCGGAGCACGGGGAGATTCGATCTGACTGAGCGAGAATTGAGAAAGCGAAGGCGTGGATGTACCCGAGGCCAAGCTATCGATCGATTTGCGTGGGCTCATAGAAGACATTGCGTAGAGGCCTAATGACCGACTCCGGCGGCCAGAAGTTGGAACGACGCTATCTGAACATGACACGGGGACAGCTGTTCGAATCGTTCCAGAAGTGACAGAGCAGCCGTTTCTACCAACGATCTTCCAGCTGCACAGTCGGCCTGTCAATAGGAAAGAGACTAACTTCAGAACAAAACACAAGGAAATCAGACCGCAACGTCACCCAGATACCACGAAGCAATGATACGGGGCTTCATTCTTTGGGATCAGCGCATCCTGATCGGGTAAGGCGCCAGGCCCCGAGGCCGCGGCATCTAGACCTATTTTGGTTATCGGATGAACATTTTCCCGGCACTGCCGTGGTTCTCAGGCCAAAGCTTACTTCTGCCTAAGGCCAAAATCAATTAACGCGTGTTCAGACGCGACGCGTTGCATTCGTGTTTCAACAGTGCAAAAAGTTGTCCGCATCTTCTCCTTGATACACATGTGCTCCCTCACCCACGCAATTCTCCCCTACCCGTTCAGTCTTCATCGCTGTCTTCAATATGGACAGACGTACTCCCTATACCTTGAGCGTTCTTGCTCCCAGCACAGATGGCGCAGAAGAGTCCCGAACACAAATTCAAGCAAGGTTGCGCGAGTTTGTATTGGAGTTCCAACTTGACAACGCATTTATTTACCGGTATTTTGCCCGACGGACATGGAAATCTTGTGCAGACTAACCGAGTGTATAGTGATCAACTGCGGCAGAATGTTCTCGTGAAGCAATACTACTGCGACATTGATATTGCCCATTTAATATCGTATAACGAGGAGCTCGCTCACAAGCTCACAACTGAACCTGCCGATATTATCCCCCTTGTGAGTATTGCCTTCAGGCTCATAATGGCTGACTCTAACCGTCTTGGGCCTCTCTAGTTTGAGGCAGCTCTCCAACAATGCACACAGCGAATTGTCTATCCATCTCAAAGAGACATCGTCCTTCCATCGCACCAGCTCTTGCTTCACTCATCTGCATCACACATCTCCATTCGGGACCTGAACGCTACAAACATCTCTCACCTTGTTCGTATTCCAGGAATTGTGATTGGCGCGTCGACAATATCATCCAAGGCCACCGTTGTCCACATTCGGTGCAAGGGCTGCGACCACAGCGAAAACATCCGAGTAGAAGGCGGTTTCTCTGGCCTAACGCTTCCCAGACGGTGTGGCCGTGAAAAGCTACCGGGTGAAGAGCCCGGCGAGCAATGCCCCCTCGATCC